TTTAAATGTTATTTGTAAATCAAAATTTTTTTTTTCAAAACGTTCATTTGCGGCTCTAATACATTTTTTAGTGTTTAATTAATTCATGCTTATTTTTGCGGCAACTCCATGAAAAATCACGATAAATATTTGTTAAATTACTACTCTACTCTTGGAATTTTTTTGATTCAAAAGATTTAGAATCAGGGCTGTTGAAACTACTTGAATATTATTTTCTTTAAAATGATCATATTTTGTTTGTGAATAAATTAAGGATTGCTGCTACAAACTCATTCAACTAAGTGGTTTCTCAAATAATTTTGCCTGACAACAATGCTGTTAAGATCCTATTTTAGAAAAGTTTTAATGCTGCATAAAAAAACGTTTTTGGGCACTTTTTGAAAAAATTTTACATAAAAATCTCAAGTTTTGTGAATAATGAGGCTGACGGTACCTTTAACTTTTTAATGATGCTAGGGTTGGTCATCCAAAAAAACACGATATCGTAAAACAGTAGCAAAGGTTGGCTCTTTGAAAAAACTTAGCAACCAGAGTCGAGAAAAGAAGCGTAAGCTTCCATCCCCCTTCGCACACTACGGGTAACATCATATAATTTTTTCTATAGAAATGCACAAAATTGCGTAGTTTTTAGGGAAAAATACTTTCACCGAGGACAAGATAAGGCTCTGAGTGATGTTTCAGTTTTGATTTTCTGCAAGCAATATAAAAAGATTAAAAAGCAATTTCATCAAATTTGAGTGCAAAAAGAGTTGTTTGATTTTTTGCATGCAATAAAAAGTTTCAAAACTATACGTCGAAGTTGGTTGAGTATATTATTTTTTGAAATACTTTTTTGTCGTGCTCTGAGCTGCAGAGAAAACGAGTTTCACCTCGATTACAGAAAAATGAGTTTTGTCACTGGTTGACCACAGTAAAAAAAAATTCTTATCAATTCTTTTTATTTGGCAACTCAAACTTTTTCTCTTTATACGCAATGTTATTAAAATAGGTAGGCAAATTCACACCCATGAAACACACCGCTAGATTTTTCTATAGCCCAATATATAAGAACACATCCAATTTTAGTTGCCTGTTTAATGGCCAGAAGTTGCATAAATTCTTAGATCAATCGAATAGTTTCAGGATCTTGATTCACTTTCTTTTTCGAGATAATCATTTTTGAGGAGACTTTTTCCTCATTAAATATTTTCAAAAAATGATTTGTGTAAGATATCTTTCGAGATTTAACTGCGACTTGCGAGCAGTTTGAAGCTGTTAATTTGATTTAAAAACGGCTGGAAGAATCTTAGTTATCGTGAGTAAAGAAAAAATTAAATTTTGAGCTTCCTATCCGATTTCTCCGACTAAGGGCAAACTGGAAATTGATACTATAATTTTTCAAAAGATGTGGCAAGCATCATTTTGCTACATCTATCTGAAAAAAAGCCAACAGGGCGCCCAGTCTGACAGTTTTTAGGAGGATATACTGATGCGAAAGGTACTGCATAATTTTAAATTTATATCAAAATTTAGAAAAAAATGGACCTTTCTCAAATCCATGCATCAATTAGTATTAAAAGCACAAAAAAGTTTTAATTGGAAGCGCAGTTCGATTAATTTCTAAAATTTTGAAAACACGTTAAAAACACTGTTCGATTATTTTCTAAAACGTATTATAGACATGGTCGTTTTGAAGAAATAGAACAAAGGCCAAAAAATGGTCAAAAAGTCAACTATTCGACAGCTCACAAATCCATTGCGGGTTCCTCTGCAAAAAAAATCTCGACTGTTTTACGTTCGATTGGTTTCCCAAACTCAAAGTAATTATGATCGCTCGCGGAATTCGAACGAAGTCCAAGAAATGGGTCATAAGGACATTTAATAGACAATTTCCAAGTCAATGGCAGATTTCTTTCACAACTGGCCAAACCAGTTTATGCAAGGAACTCGCCAAAAACTTGCTCTTTCCACTGAACCCTTAATCACATATTCCAAAACGGCAAAAATTTTAAAATATGGCTATTCAGTTTAGAAAAATTTGTTTTACAAAATAAGAGCGCAGAAAAAATTTGCAGCACCTGTTCTTTCGAGTGCACCTTTAATCTCAGATTTGGCAGAGTAGTTATTGTTAAAAGTCTAAAAATTTCCAAATAACAGGCAAATCATTATAATTGGACATTTTCTACAGCCATAGGTTTTTCGTTTAATAATTTACACACAATAGCTTGCGCTGAAATATTCGCTGCTGTTTTGACTGAATCCTTAATCTCACCTTGCATTGGGTATTTTGGAGAAAAAAAAACAAAAGTGTCCAAAAATGGGTTTTTAACAAAAATTGGGGCGTAGCTCTTATGGAGTCAACATTGCTACCATTTTGTCGGTTGAATCCTTAATCTCAAACTTCTAATCTCAAGAATGTTCCGACCACAGTCTTAAATAAATACAACAAAGTTTTTTCAAATTATTGTCGTTTTTTTTTTGGCGTGGTGTGATAAAAGAAGCTGCGCAAAAAACTGGAGATTAAGTATATTTGACAGTCATAGTAAAATAAGCAAATAAAAAACAATTTTTTTTCAGAAGTTTTGAAGTTTTTTGAATTTTTGACAATTCTGATTCCAAAAAAGCGCTTAAAGACTCAAAGTAAGCTAACGCTACTCAAGTTAAAACTAATTTTTTAATTTTCAAATTAAGCTATTGTAAGCTTTTAAGCAGTTAATAAAAGACTGCTCGCTCTCTTTATAAATCGAAACTAAAAAAATTTGATTTTTTTAAAGCGGTTCAAAACACGACTGTAACGGCTTTAATATGATGTATCACTCAACCCAGTCCGATGATTATTTGTGGTTCCTGATTTTGCGTGGAAAATAAAAAGCAAAACAAACTAAAACACAGCCGAATACAAAGTTTCTCCCCATTTTCAATGGTAAGAACAATTAGGGCTTAACCGATTCTGCAAAAAGATCCCCACCACGCTACCTGTTCTTTCGATTGAACTTTTGATCTCAGATTTAATCGTTTTTCTTTTAATAGTAGTTTTCCAGAATGGAGAAAAAGAAACGGTTGCATTCATCCTTCTTCCCCCGCACGTGCTACGGGCGATACATACAAAAACCTTCCATGAGAAACGCTTTCATCTTTTATTCCGCCAAACACTGAGGGCAGCTTTGAATTGTGTTTGATTTTTTGCGAGAAATAGCAAGTTTTAAAACTAAAATTCAAATTTGGTCAAGAAAAGTATCATTTTATCTCTACTGTTTGCCCAAAGTTTTGGAATAAATCCGACAGTTTTCAAGCATGTTTTTGGTCAGAGTTTTGAATAAATTATAGCAGCCTCAAATGAGATTTTAAATAAATTTAGGGTCTTGACTGACCTTTTTTTTGCTATGAATATTTTTGAAGAGAAATTTCCTTATAAAATTATCTCCAAAAATAGATTCTTGTAAAATCTCTCTGGACAATTAAATGTAATTTAAAGCTGCAAATGTTATCGAAAAAGTTGTCCCAAAAACTTGTTTTTTTTAAATATCTCTACAATATTTAACTGCAACTTGTACCAATTGCTGCTAAAAATAATTAAAATTACAAACTACTAACCGTTTTTTCTGTGTAATCCGATTTACCTTTTTGCTAGTGTGAGCAGTTTTCAATTGCTAATTCTAATTTAAAAATCTCTTTTACAAAGAGTATCAAAAACGTCAAATATTGGACAGTTCCCAAGACTTTTACGGATAACTTAACAGTTTTTTCGATTGAACTCTTAACTTAAGGTTTGCATAGAAGTTTTTTTTACTTAGAACTGTTTTAAAAAAAGATTATTAATTCCCCCACTGAAATTTGTTGAAGGCCGTAGAACGTCGAGTAAGGTAAAAAGAGACTGTTGGAAATTGCGGGCTCCCAGGAGCGCAGGCAGGTTTTCCATTGTTGCATTTTTAAAAATCGGTAAGGTACTTGTTTGGAAGAAAACATTATGTATGCTTGTGTAATCATCAATTTTGTTTGAAACTAAAATGAAAAGCAATTGAATAACTCCTGCGATACAAAATGAAACATTTTTGCACTACAGAGCGTTGCACCACTTGCGATACAAAATAGAGAGACTATGATCACGAACAAATGAAACAACACAAAGAAAATTTTTTATAAAAATCTAAAAAAACTAAATAAAAACTCAATAAATCCAAAAAACGGAACTCATTTTCCAGCAAGAATTGAAATTTTACAAAGAATATTCAAAATGCTAGAAAAAATCTAAATTCCAAAAAATTTGACTAACATTTTCAGTTTGCAAAAAGAGAGGCACCGACTGGAATCGAGCGCTGAGCCTTTGTCGTCGCAAGCAAAGTTGTTACCACTGCACCAAAAGCGCGACGTAATTTTGAACTTGGGATTCTAATCATCATTTTACACAAAATAGACTGGAAAGCAAGTAAACCAAAATTAATTGAAACTTATTGAAAAATATTCAAAAAAACGGCGCAAAAACTCATCATTTTGATTTCTTTTCCTCTAAAAGCAAAGTAAGATGAAAGCCACCTGACACTAAAAAAGTAGCAAAAATGATTTGAGCCAGGCAATTAAAAAGTATTTAGAAGAACGATATTTTTTGATAACTGAATTTTTTTAATGAACTTAAGTTTAAAATTTTTTAAAGAGTCCTTGTGGGGTTTTGAAGTCTTTTTGTAGTCTTTTAAATTTCTCAAAAACTGCATAGAGAGCACCAACGACAAATCAATTTTGACTACATATGATTAAATATAATAATATATAGTCATTGTAGCTAGTTCGTTAGTTAATAGAACTTCAGTTTAATCATCACATAC